CATTGCTCCTCCTGAACGTAAATACTCTGTATGGATCGGAGGATCGATCTTGGCCTCGCTGTCCACCTTCCAACAGATGTGGATTTCCAAGCAAGAATACGACGAAGCAGGTCCTTCTATCGTTCATCGTAAATGCTTCTAAGGCTAGAACTTCAATTTGCTTTCATTGAAACTTTAATTGAATATTTGGTCTCTGTTATTTCACCTTTAACGTTATATACAAAAACTTCCCCAAACCACTTCTCCGTGTAGAAAGTATTGTTTTGTCAACTCTTGGGCATCATTAAAAAAAGTGAAAAAAGAATGTTTTGGTTGTGATTTAATGGCATCAAATTTCTTCAAAAGAGAGTAATATTTGTTGTGAACGCCTGAAAAAGCGACGATCACGTGACTAACTTGAAAACCTGTCTTTTCACGTTGCTCGACTTCTTTAGTGACCGCGCAATCTAGTCAATATACAGTCATGTGAACGAAATCACGGTCAACGCGGACATCAACTGAGAAAACAAAACAGTAGTAATTTTGAAACAGCTTGATCGACATGGCGAACGACATAAAATCCTACGGAATGCTATGGGTACGTCAGTGGAACAATCTCCGCGCAGAAAGTATGCTCGTGCTCTCCTTGAGACATTTTTTTTTATGTGGCGAACCTAACCTGTTCTATCACCAACTTCAAGTTATTTTAATTTATGATATGGCAAATTGCTCCACGACAGAAAGAAGAATTCTGATTGGTCCCTGAGCGGTCCGAATTTTACAATACGGACCGCTAAAATGGACAGTTCAGAAATTGTTTCGGCAAATTGCTTTTTCAAAACACCGCACAAAAGGAAACAGTTTCTTCTTAAATAGAAATATATTTGTCTTGATGTCTGGAGGATAATCTTAGTTTAGCTTTGACGAGAGCGGTCTGAAAAACGCAAATACACGCTTAGCTTTGGCGTGCTGAGAATTGATGCATTAGTTTATCAGCAAAATTTTAAGAGACCAGTATTAGTCAGTTATTGAAGCATCTTGTTCCGTCCGTATTAGGCAATATTGGTCTCTGGATCGAGCCGCAGGCGAGGTCCATAAAAAAACCTCCACCAATTCCCAAACATGGACCGCACGCTTGTTCAATAACATACATATGTATTTCACGCGTGCGCATTCCGTGTGTAGGCAAGTACAGTTTGTTACATGTTTTTTGTAGCGACGCGGAAGAAGTAGATAAGACATAAGAGAAGGAGAAAGCAAACAAGCTTAGAAACAAACAAACAAACAAACAAGCAAACAATCATACATGCAAACAAACAAACACACGGAAGACCAAAACGAAATACAGCCGAAATTCTCGTTACTAACACCTCCATAATACGGACATCTCTATACTATGGACAGTTTTCTTGGTCCCACAGAAATCAAAGTTCATAAAATCTCTGCTTTATTGGTATCAGCACCTCCTTAATCATAATATGGACACTCAGCTCGACCCTTTTTGAGTCGATATTAGCGAGGTTCGACAGTGTAGGAAGAACACTACACTCCTCGGCCTCGGACGTCTGATAACAAGCATTCTTTTAATTTAAAACTGCCAATTCGTTAAAGAAATAAAGTGTTTGCTTCGCAACGTAGAAAATTGGCAGCGCACCTAAAATTCCCAGGGTGTTGTTTGGAGGCAGTGGTGGTTTCATTTCAGGTTTATGACAGGGAATCAAATGATATTTACAGAATTCAAACCGATGCCTATTAAAAAATATCGCCCCACTGTTCAGTACTCATTGACATTTCGGCTGCCGCAGTTACAGGATATTATATAATCTAAAAATAGTACTGAACTCTTTTTTGGTCAGAAATATTTCTCTATGCCAAATTTGCCAAAAATGGTTATGATTTTTATTTTATTATAACGTGCCGAAGTGTTATGGCATTTCTAAATATATATTGAAAGCCCCCAATGATGATGACCCCAACAATGGAAACGACGTCACAGGGTAAAACAATTTATTGGAAAAATGCAAATTAAGGACATAACTTGAATATGTGAATAACTATGTGAACAAAGGTCTACACGGTGAAAATAGTTATTTGTCTTCTTTACTGAAATCTTTTTTTGGTATTTTTAACCGTTTATTTTCGTGCATATTTATTGGGTATCTTTGCCAATCTTACTGGAAAGTACATGCAGTTTAAGTCACAGACCTGCCGAATCAATTTCTTTCTCAAGTGGTAAAACCAATTTCATAACATACTTTAGTTTCTACGATCTATTGCCATATTACCAAAGAAAGTTTCAAGTATTCTTAATGTACTATAGTCGTCACAAAAATTACGTCTCTTATTCACCAAAAACAAACAAAATGGCCTAATAAAGGATTCTGTCGAACGATAAAATAATGTTCCACTCCATTAGTTTTAAACAAGAAAGCAATTCATGCAAATGAAGATCACATCGACCGATCATTGGCGATTTGGGCGAAAAGCAAATAAACAGACGCCGGCACAAGGTGCTTTAAGCGATATTCGAGAAACTATTGTCATCACTGATAGCTCCGTAAAATTTTATGTGTTGAAAACCAGTTCAGCTGTACAATTGTAGACATCTGTTGTGCATGTCGAATGAGAAAATTCGTTCATTTCTGTCAGTAGACTTGCATTCATTCAAGCGTGATTATATTGATTTTTAAAATTATTGCAACTAAAAGCTGAGTGGTTTGTTTAGCTTTACTAATAACTGCTCCTGGCACGAATAACGGGGCCGACATCGACTGAAATAGAACCAATGCCAAATTGGCGAAGTTTATCCGGGTTTTCGACACGAATTGAATCTTCAACACGCTTCTGTAAAATAATCATGAGTTTGGCACCCGGAACTGCATCATTGTTCGTGTGGCCATTTTCAACCAATGGCGTTCAAGCATTGCCGACATAAAGCGTGGGACAGCCGTGCACAGAGATCACAGTTCCACACTGTTCGAGGAGGCTGGTTGTTGAGAAGAAGACGAAATTCAGATTTTAACCACAATCCGAAATGGCTGACGACGACGTTGCTGCTTTGGTTATTGACAATGGCTCCGGTATGTGCAAGGCCGGTTTTGCCGGAGACGATGCTCCCCGTGCAGTGTTTCCCTCCATCGTTGGTCGTCCAAGACATCAGGGCGTGATGGTTGGTATGGGTCAGAAAGACTCGTACGTCGGCGATGAAGCTCAGAGCAAGCGAGGTATTTTGACTCTGAAATATCCCATCGAACACGG